ATTGAGTTGTCTGCATACACCCACATATTACTACCTTCGTTATTATTATCGCCATGTGCATAATCCGTCGTATGATTATTTCTATTGTCATCACAATCTTCGGTATTACTGACGTTTGAAGCGTCACTATTTAATCAACAAAATCATCGTCACTGGTTAAACCCTTACATGTGAAACTAATGGAATTAGAGTCAAGCCTGAAGGAGATGTGATTGAAAACAAGAATATTGTTCGTTTATATGTCCTGCCATAATAATAGTAACGAGAACACGGAGTGCTTTAATAAAAATCACCCCTGTTTTCTGAAAGAATTTTCCAACACTTAATGTCGAGAATTTGTGGTTCAACGTTCTGCTCGAATCACATTAATGGATTCTATTTGATACTACGGGCCCCCGCTTAAAAGAAGGAAGGGGGACCCCCAAAAAAAACAACGCCTTCCGGAGAAAAATTATTATTATTATTATTTGATACTACTGTGTTCCACAGAGCGATCGGTGTAAAACGAGTTAAAAGAGACGGAAAATTCTGAGAAGTATAACACATATTTGTTCCTCTCTAAGAAGTCACATAACAATTATACAGGCATGAATAAGTTCTTATTCATATAAATCCGGTTTATTATGAGGTTACGTTTGTGGTCTTCTTGTTCACACTGAAATCGACTAAAACAGTCGGTTAACTACTTGGTGAAATTTGTGTGTTAGAAAATGTAGTAGCATTTCCGTCACACTACCAAATATTATGGGTCGGTGATGGATAAACCACAAATACCAGGAGAGAATGCCGCTTGAAGTTAATTCCCCTACGCAAGCAACTTAAAAATACCCATTGCCTCATACAGAAGAAAAGACGTTCAAAGAAGATTTACTCCTTTCTCGTATGATATTAATAACAAGCTGTACAATTGCATTTGTGTACTCAATTTCCTCGGCAGCATAATGAATAATTCCATAGATGTGTCATTAGTATTGTAAATGCTTCAGGTAACAAATCCCGTATCATAAAATGTTTTATTTGAGGAGAAACTTGGGGAAAATTAAACAAGCAAATGCAGTGACGTAATATCGTTGACTTGACTGGGTAGATTTCAACTAACACTGAAAATGGACCGTCAGTGGCACAGTGGTTAGCATGCCGACCATGCACGTGAACCGGGGTTTTAACACAGGCTGACGCACTCCTTTGCCTGACTTATCAAGTAGTAAGACTGGTAAAGAGGGAAGGTTGGGCAGTAGGCAAGCAACCTCATCCTGTAAAAATAAACACTGCTACAGAAACTTTAGGCCTCTAGCTTATAGCCTTATATTCCACTGGGAACGTGAAGGAAATAAAAAACATTGAACAAGATTCAAATTGTTACCAGTCATATCAAAAGGGGTACAACACTTGATCAACAGAGGGAGGTTTGTGCATAGGGCTATTTACCCTATCTCGCAGAAATTTCAACGAACAGGGAAAATATTGATAATAAAAAAATGTAGAAAACAAAATTATTCTTCGCTTGGATCGGGAAGACGAAATGACGTCAGTTTGTCAATGTCTTTCCGAAACCATTCAGGCTATGTGTCCCCAGCTGATGAAAGCAAAAATCAGAGTAGGGGCGTGCAATGTTCGTACAATGTTTGAAGCTGGAAAGGCTGTCCAAGTAGCCGAAGAAATGAGATTTGTATACAAGTGCTGAAAATCAGCGAGAGTAAGTGAAATGGATGTGGACTGTGCAAATCTTCAATTGCAGAGTCAATAATCAACCCACACGACAACTATGGACACAATGATGGAGAAGTCATAATCATGTCATCAACAACACACAAAGACCTCATGCAACCGGAGCCAATCTCATTGACGAAAATGAAAGACAGATTCAACGTAGAAGTAACAAAGGAAGGTTACAGTCATTCAAAGCGACGCGCCAACTAGCGACTCAGACCAAGTGAAGAAGGACGATTTCTATAGAAAATTGCAAAGACCACTGGACAGAGGTCCAAATGGCAACATCGAAATACTTATGGTGGATATAAATGGAAGTCGAACTGGGACCAAACAATAGAGGAGGAGAACTTATCGTGTGTCGTAAGGCTCTCAGAGCAATAAAGATAAATAGCGAAGCCTTTGTAAACCTTTGTGCTTTCTATGATTCGGCGGTTGAAGACTTCATGCAGAAATACAAGAATACACCCAAGGCGATATGGATTTCACCTAACGGACACACCAAAAACAAGAAAGCCTTCATCTCTGTGTCACTCAAGGAAGTGGAGACGCAGCTAGTTTGCTGGAAACAATAATAATAATGGTAAAGCCTTATTTAAGACAGTATGCGAATATACGCTGCAAAACTTTCAGCACATTCAGGTACAAAGTACTTTTTTCTTCACACAGGATTCACATGTGAAGTAATAATCTGAAGTATATCTTCATTTCGTGGAAGAATTTTATAGCGTTTACTTGTGAGCAAGTTCCAATATCCAATATCGTTTTTACGAGCTAGTATAAACCAATTTGATTTCTTTGTGCTCGCTTCTTGATTGTAAGGTATAGGTTCCTGATCTTCGGTAAACTTCTGCGTAGCTTGTCCCGCCACTCGACTGTCGTAGCTTTGGTTGACTCCAAAGGGAGTAGTGCTGGGATTAATTATATGTGGTTTGTAGTATGAGGTATGTTAAGACTGTTACTACTGTGATTGGAGTTGATCCTTTCGCCAGTTAGTCCTTCGGTATTGTCGACAAGAGAAAAGAGATAGTAATAATAATAATAGATATAATTAGTGAAGCTATTCAGACTAAGAGACAGAAACGAAAATAGGAAACGTAACAACAGTCAGCTCATTAAGTTTGAAGAATAATATATATATATATCGGTAATAATAATAATAATAATAATAATAATAGTAATTATAATATTAATAAGTTGTCAGGAGAGTAAGACGGGAGAGAATGTAAAGAAGTAAAATGACGAGTTTAATTATCTACCCCTGATTGGTAAATGCGATTTTAAGGAGATAGGCCATTTGGATGCAGTCCTTGTATCGCTGCATGGTTGTCCAGCCTTCGCTTAAAGGCGTCCAAAGACGGTGCCATAGCTACATCTGCCGGTAAGGAATTCCAGGGACGACAAACCCGCAGTGAAAAGAAGTGGGAGCGCACCCGGGTCCTTGCCCTCTGGTGAGCTATCCTTCTGGGATTTCCACGTGGAAGCCTATACCTACTCAATGGCAGAACACCTTTGTTTGGGTGATTCTGGTCATTTGTTATTTTGTAGGCAGTAATCAAATCCCCCCTAAGCCGACGGTAACTAAGTGTGAACAGGCCTAATTTCTTCAGCCTTTCATCATATGGTTTATTTCGGAGACCAACCACTCCTTTTGTTGCCCGTCGTTGGACTCTTTCCAAGAGGTTGGCGTCTCTTCTCAGCATTGGGGGTGCAATAATATTATGCACCTCAAGGTGTGGCCTGACGTATGTTTTGTACAACATTAGAAAGAGCTCAGGAGTGAGTGCACCTAACTGTCTATGCGTAAAGTGTATGACCGCATATGCCCTCGCTACATCCCCTGTGTAATTTACGCTTGTGTCCATTTTTTCCGTTAGAACTAGACCTAAGTCGCGTTCCGACGTTGTGCAGGACAAGCTTTCATTGCACAGGGTGTAACTTGCATTCTGCAGTCTACAGGTGCGCAACTTCACTACTTTGCACTTTTTCAAGTTGAAAGTCATGCCACTGGCCACCGCCCAGTCTTCCAGAAGGTTTAGGTCTTCCTGTAGCCTATCTGAGTCCTCCGGACACTTTATCGCCCTCCATATTTTTACGTCGTCAGCGTATAGGAGAGTCGGGCAGCTCAGACGGCGTGGTAGATCATTGATGAAAATCAAAAACATCAGTGGTCCTAGGATAGAACCCTGCGACACTCCTGATGACGATCTGTGCCAAGATGATCGGACTCGGTTAACCTTAGTGCAAAATTGCCTGTCGGCTAGGTAGTCCTTCAACCATGACAGAAGTGGCTCACCTATGCCTGCCTGGCTTATTTTATGTAGGAGAAGGTCATGGTGAACAGTGTCAAATGCCTTCTCAAAGTCTAGGAAGACCACATGGACTGGTACGTTCATATCCCAGCATGATGTCCAGTCGTCCCAAGCTGACAGTAGGTTAGTGACGCAGGATCTGCCTTTTCTGAAACCATGTTGGGCTTCATGTAGTATATTAGTCCTATCGAAATATTCCCTGATGTGGTCGTCAATAATACTTTCCAGTACTTTTGATACCACTGGGAGTAGAGCTACTGGTCTATAGCTAGCAGCGTTTTGCCTGTCCCCACCCTTGAAGATTGGAGAAAGGATGGCTCTTTTCCACTCCCTTGGCAGGGTCCCCGAATCCATTGAGTGTTGGAACAAGTCGCACAGGGGTCTACAGAGAGCCTCGGCGCACTGTTTCAGAACAGATGGCCTGATGTCATCACAACCTGGGGACTTCCCAGGTATGAGTCGCTGTAGCTTCCTTAGTACTATTGCGGGGTTTATTTGGGGAGTAGTCGCTAGGTCTTCCTCCTCTGAAATAGTGGTGCCACCATTTTGGTCCGTAACTGTAATATCCACATTGCTGTTTAGCTGTTTAGCGAAGGCTGAACTGAATGTTTCAGCCATCTCCAGACTAGTGAGATATTGACCGTTTGGGCCTACTAAGGCGCATGCCCCTTGGTTTGTCGGTTTTCTTTCCGACATGAATCGGTACAAGTTTTTAGGGTTTGATAGGAGTTTTTTAGCAAGGTTAGCCTGGAATGACCTTCTGTCCCTCCTGACTCTTGCATTACACCGGTTCCTGAGTTCGAGGTATGCATCATGGTCGGTCTGACTCTTAGATACACGCCACGTAAACCAAGCCTTCCGCTTTGCTTGCAGAATACGTTGCGTGCCTCTCTTCAACCATGACGTCTTTCTCTTGGGCTGTGTTGTGACTAAAGGGACGGTATCCGAGATTGCTATATGGATAATCTTTTTTACCACTTCCCAGTGTTCATCCACAGATAGGTCGTCCCATGCTAAGGGCCAGTCTGCGTCGGACAAGAGCCTCCGCATTTCAGCATAGTCAGCCTTGCTGTAGCACAGACATGGTCGCGTAACATCCCATTGCAAACGCTCACGGAGGACAAGATCGAAACCTATGACTGCATGGTCACTGCTTCCCAGAGGAGTCATGATCTGGACCTTTTCGACGAGTAGCTGGTCACTAGTTAGAATATAATCTAGTTTTGATGACTTTCCACTAGGGCCCCACCTAGTGTCGTCTCCAACATTCTCAGTCAGTCCCGTGTTTCGAATAGTTTGCAGTAGGTTTCGGCCAAATTTTCCCTTAGCACACCCGGAGCCGAGGTTCAGTGATGGAGCATTGAAATCTCCAGCTATGGTGATTTGGTCGTAGCCCAAATCTCGTATTCCTGTGATAGTGCTGAGCAGTAGCTGATTGTGCTCTGCCCCACAGGTGGGAGATCGGTAGATGCCACCCAGTAAGTGCTTGGTGTGGCCTACGGTGAAATGACACCATATGGAGTCTGGGAGTTCGATAAGTGGTGGGTCCGTTGCGCGCACACATTTAAGTTGCCTATCAAAGTATATAGCAACTCCCCCTCCTTCCTTATTATCCCTGTCTCTCCTGACCAGTACCATATCACCTATACTGATTTCATTGTCGGCGATAGTGGGGTTTAGCCACGTTTCAGTAAGAATGATTATTTTCAGTTGAAGGTGTGCTTGGAGATTTCGGAGTTCACCTACTTTCCCTCTCAGCCCCCTCACATTGCTATATAGGCAACTGACAGTGAGTCTAACAACCTCAGAGTGTTGTGGGGTAGTTGACGTGAAACCGTCTGCTGGTGGGGGACTTGATGTTGGAACTAGTTGGCCGATTCCGATAGAACCGGCCCGTTGTAGTTTTTTTCAATGGATTTAGGCAGGACACTTGGGAGACACAGACTATTATTCTCAGAGCTGCATCGCTCTAGTGTCACCGAAGCTTGGGGTCGTATTAAAGCCTCAGTTTGCTGCCTCCTTATATTTCTGGGTCTGCTTTCACAGCATCGGATGTGTCCTCCAATTTTTCCCTTGGTCTCATACCACCGTTGAAGTGATATGGACAACTGCTCCGGGGAGTTGAATGTGACACACAGCAGCTTTGGAGAGTTAATCAATGTTAGATGAGCGGGACGAGGTAGTCGGAAAATGGAGATGGCTCCAGAAGCGCCAGGGGCCATCTGAGATGACAGCCATCTCCATTGTTGTACGTCGTGCATGTGTTTTTCACAAGCAGTGCCGGTTTCCAGCTCCGGAACACCGTGTACCACCATAGAGGTGGAAGGCATCAGTTCCGGTGACTCCCTCGCCATATTTCTGACAGCCCATGGTCTATCTTGCCGCGCTCTTATGTTAGAACTTCTGTCCAGGGCTAGTACCTGAGCCATTAACAGTACTTTTTCGGCCTCTTCGGCAGAGTCCAGTGTAACCCGTAATGGGGGTGGCTTACCCTGAGGCGTGTGGACACCCCTGTACAGTCTGCACAGTTTTGCTGAACTAATGTTCAGACCTAGTTTGCTGCACAGGTTGGACCACTGTTCCTGATCAAACAGGGCCCGTTGTTCGAGCAAGCTATCCGTGCTCACAGGTACGTTAAAGAGGATGAGAGAGTTAGACCGACTACCCTCAGACTTAGGTTTTGCCTTCGGCTTCTTGCAGTCCTTTGCATCATTAGCAACATTAGGCTTCATCGGTACCTGGACAGCCTTTTTTGTGTTGCCAGGCTTGCTAGTGGATGCAAGTGGTGCCTTTGTAATTTTGCCTTCCCCTGATGTGGATGGAACCTTGCTAATCTTCACCTTGTGAGAATTGGCATTTCCAGTCAGTAGGGCTGGTGTGTCCTTCTTTAAGTCTTTGACCAGTTTCGGCAGTGCGAGTTTAGCAGGGGGGAGCTGCATGATACTGTGTTGGGGCACAAGAGCATGTTATTTCTGCTATCCGCAGACACGCTTTGTGGGACTATGCCAGGGCGACAAAGTGGACACACGTACCAAAACCATGGGCATGGGTTATTTCTCATAAACTCATAGTATGCTTTCGGTACTTCTTTGTCACAACGGCAGTGCACCCATCGTTTGCAAAAATTACATTCAAACGCTGAATCAGTTTTAGAAACTGTGATGCTGCACGCCTGGCATTCATCCCCTTTCCTTGATGACGCCTTCGAGGTCTTATGACGTCTTGAACGTTTCCTTTTAGGCTTGATGTGTTTCACACACTGGCCTACAGTTGATGCAGGTGTAGAATTCTGTCCTTCTGGTATTGCCTGTGCCGTTTCAGTACTAGACTGTGGCAATGCAGGCGTTGTATCAGGGCAGACTAAAGCTACACGAGTCTTTAGGATCGGTATGCGGGAAGGGGTTGAAATCCCTGGATTTTTTCCTTCCCTGGCTGAAGCCCTTGTGACTACAGAGTACGGTATTCTAGTGGCTTTTTTAAGGCTGCTTTCGACAACCATATTAACAATCACTATAAATTATGCTATGTACGTCTAAGAGAGCAACAGTTTCTAACCAAAAGAGCAAGAATAAGACTGAAAAAGTATAAGGCAAGGAAAAGAAAAGGTTTTCGACTTTACCTAGTACTTTCTGAATGATCGGCTTCACGGCAATCACGTGGTAGACCAACAAGTCTTGTTTCTCTGAACGAGTGAGGAAGATGCTGCTACAAAAGTAGCACCTGAAGCTTTGGCAGTAGTTCGAGACAGCTGGACTTACCACACAGAGATTTACTATGTAAGTAATGGTTGAATTAAATTCACCGGCTAGGAAGATCAGGTTTCCCAAACGGATAATTCACAGAATTGGTATTTTCCGGTTGGAGAGGAAAAAGCACGTTGTATTCAAGGAGCGCGCGTGAATCATTGAGCAATTTTATGTATATGCCATTTGATATAACTGGACGATTAAAACAATGATAAATCCAGATAAAATCAAGTATTTTGGAAAATAATTCCGGTAGCCTAATGATTTTAGCAGGCAACCTACTGAACAGGAGCAGAAGCTGACTCGAACCACTACCTCGTCCAAGCAAATTTCAAGGTTCAGATGAAAATCCTGAAAGGAGCTAGAGGTGGATCACTATTGAAGTTCAACTATCAGAAACAAAAGATGAAACTGAGATGGACATTTTCACTGTAGGCATCACAGCAAAGTTAGGGCTATTACGTGTCATCACTGAGGAAAAGAAAAAGGAGGTGATACCAAGAATGAAGGGGAATTGTGAAACAGATGAAACAATGCAAAGATGGACATCGGAGGGAGAAGCAGAGTTGTGCGTACGTTTCACTGAATATAGAGATAAAGAACAGGGCTAGGAAAGACAATATACAATTCTACGAGACACTGATAACTGAAGCGGAGTTGGGAAGCCACGCGTGAACGAGATCTGAGAAGACAACAATAGATAATCAGTTGCCTGTCCCGGAAGAGATCAACGCAGACTAAACTCATAAAGATGATCGAGGCAAGGTGACTATCAAAGAGTAGAAACGAATAAAACAATTGACTGATCACTCTGTTGTTTGGTATTCTGTTCAAATTCATGCTACTTAACGCGAGTAAGTAGAATAAGCACTATTTCTCACCTCTTAACTATGACTTCGTTCGCCATTGAAGTTCAACTCACTTATTGTAATATCAACCCATTTGATGCATGATAGTGGTTTTCTTATAGATAAACATTGTTCCCTGTATATACCTTATTTCAGTAGCCGTAGCTGCTGAACACTTTTGATTCGTATCACTCCATTCTGTGTCTGTCATTCACACATCATTTAAATCTACAGGTGAATCGCCTTAAACGGAGCACTGCTATTCTGATTTATTGACTCACATCGACTGAGGTTTCGACAACATTGTGTGACAAACACCTCACAGTCGAGGTTTGTATACTATATTTCATTGTTTTATGTTTGCTATAGCATTGTAGATTAGATGAATCCTGTGTGTTTTCAGATTTACTCATCACTCCAAGTGCGGTTCGAATAATCCTTTCGATTATCGTCGAGAATTATATTTGGAAGATATTCACAATGCGTGAATAAATTACAGAGAAAATCTAAATTAAGATCTTTATACGTGTCATCATCATATCTCCAGGAAAACGTAGTAGCAGGATTTAATATTCTGTGAATTCCGCATTCCCAGCATATTTCCAAATTATTCTCAGGGCAGTCATTCGATTGCCACCACGCAATTTTGTTTGTTTCATTGAGAATGACCCGAATAAAAGCGGAATTATGTTAATGAATTAAACGATCAGAAGAAATAAGAGAGAGTAATTATAGTAATAATAATAAGAGTAATCGTTCTGTGTAAAAGAGCATAATGGAGTATGATGGTCGGATCACTGAGTTGCCTGCATTGTGATAGAAGAACACTGAGATATCTGGTGTCAGTGTTATTCATTTGACATACTGACATAATGCGATGAGAGATTGTGAGCAGCCCACATTGAAACTTCGTTCACTGGAGTGTACTGATATCCTGATACCTCCGTCCATGCTTCATCCTCTGTTTATTCCTTCCCAATGATTCTAATTCTCTTGCTTTATACGATTAAGTCCGTGGCTTCATTGTTCGAGATTCCATCAGAAGACGACATCAATATTGAACTGACATGCTCTTGTCAGCAGCACGAAACCCACTCTTGCGTTCACAAGCGAATATTTTCATGTGTGTTGTTTTGCAATAATTAGTGATCGCATGTTATAATCTGGCCACTGATTACTTCTAGGTGACGTATTCCATGATGTATGTTAAAGGGCACAATTCCGCTCCTGTTTCTCCAGTGGCATAATTTATCCTTCTTTGGTAGTTCGTATTATGGCGTGTGATGCTGAAAAGATTGAGAAGGAGTTTTGCAGAATCTAACTGATGGGAACCTGCAAAAATTGAAGAATTGTATTACAAAGTTGATTGACTACGACCTTCAGGCTGCACGTGGAAAACCCTTAAGAAACGTTGGTGCCTTCTATACCACAGTGATTTCTCTTGTCTACAGGATGTTTGGTAGGATGAGATTTATTGAATGCGGATTTTCATGTCCTATCTCCTGTGACCACTATCTTATCACTAGTAAAACTCCACACAGATTAAATCGTGCGTATTTCCTCATCAGTGGGTAATTTATACCTGGCAAGTAGGTGACACTTAGTGAATAGATTGGTTGTCATACTTCAGCATTTTGCAGTGCGTAGGTGAGTGACACAAAACGAATTTCTCGGCGGCCTGTTTAAGGATTTAGCTGCCACAATATCCCTCAATTTACGTTGCGTCTGATTAATCCGATTTGCATTTCTTTTTAATATTCCATTACCTGTGCAAATCGCATTAAACACTCTCGCGATTATTTAAAATGTCTTCAAATAAATGTTTGAGAATTGACTATTGTGGGTGTCAACGAGCCTCAAAGTGTACTCCGGTGCATTAGATGACTGATCCTGTGATTATCAGCACGAATTCTAGGTCATCACCGAACAAGATTTATTACTTGGATGCTCTATTATGTTCAAATGTTTGTCGTATTACAGGCGCAATAACGCTTCAAGAAATTTGGTTCCACGATTCATATGATGACAATTTAATCTTACCGAA